TTAATAAAGTTATGAATAAATTTGACTGTCTTGAATGAATTAAACTTACCGTATATTGGCTATATAATTGAAAATAACACTAATTTTAAACATAATAACCTCTTACGTGCTTCCTAATATCATATCAGAGCTGCCCCTTAAAGTTAGCATTTCTACTTCTACTCTTAAAAAAATCTCCGCCCCTAACAGTTCAGTCATGGGAAATGTAATTCATCCATCCATCCATTATCTTTACCCGTTTATTCCATTTTGGGTCACGGGGGTCGCTGGTGCCCATGTCCAGCAATCAATGTGCGAGGGGCGGGGTACACCCTGGACGGGTCGCAAGTCCATCGCAGGGCCGGAAATGTAATTAAAAACACAAAAATATTATAAAACAGCATAACTAAACTGCAAATTATTTTTATCATTTAAGTGGGTCATTAATATAATTTTGCTTATTTATTGAAAATATAAGATAAATGTTTGATCGTTAATCACATTACGTAGTCTACGTCACATATTAAAACCACAGTGATAATTTGTCAAAATAACAGCAAACAAAATGTCGAAAAGACAGTCCAGTTTACTTTCATTTAAAAAAGTGTTCCCATTGCACAACTAAATAACTGAGAACTGAAGCACATGAAGGCAGTGGCAATGGAGATACTACTGGAGCAGGTGCAAGGATGCTTGAGAGAAGTGGAGCGTGCTCTATTCACACAAGGAGAGCTGTTGGTCAGGCTACTTCTTGTTGCTCTCTATAATAGTTATTGAATCGTTTCCAGGGGCGGCTGTGGCTGGGTTAGAGCAGCCGTCCTTCAATGCAAGAGTTGGGGGTTCGAATCCACCAGCAGTCACATGTCGAAGTGTCTCTGGGCAAGACGCTGAACCCCTCATAGTCTCTGATGTGTGTCCCATCAGTGTATAAATGTGATCTCAAAGCACTGATTAGTCTCTTTAGAATGATTTGTTCAATTAGCTTTGTAGAGATCTAGTAGAGTGCAGTATGAATGTGTAAATGAGGACACAAATTGTAGTGTAAAGTGCTTTGAGTATCTTGAAATAAGATAGAAAGGCACTATATAAGTACAGTCCATTTACCATTTACCATCTATTTATGGAGGTAAACATAGATGTTTAACAACCCATTAAAATACACAAGTATGCAGGAAATGGTATGCATTTTATTCAATTTTTTGTGGGTAGGACCCCCCACCCACCCTGCACGTTCTGGCATAATTTGGTTTACAAATTAAGCACTGCCCACCAGCTTCCATGCCAGTGTTTCAGACTATATATCTTATCCATCCATCCATCCATCCATCCATCCATCCATCCTTCCATCCATTTCCGCTTATCCAGGGTCGGGTTGCGGGGGTAGCAGCTTAAGTAGGGAGGTCCAGACTTCCCTCTCCCCAGCCACTTGGGCCAGCGCTCCTCGGGGGGAATCCCGAGGCGTTCCCAGGCCAGCCGAGAAACATAGTCCCTCCAGCATGTCCTGGGTCTTCCTCTGGGTCTCTTCACCAGAGGTGAGGTGAGGTGACACCTCACCAGGGAGGCATCCAGGAGGTATCCTAACCAGATGCCCAGCCACCTCAACTGGCGTCTCTCGATGTGGAGAACAAGCGACTGTACTCTGAGTCCCTCCCGGATGATCGAGCTTCTCACCCTATCTCTAAGGGAGAGCCCAGACACCCTGCGGAGAAAACTCATTTCGGCCGCTTATATCCGAGATCTCGTTCTTTTGGTCACAACCCAAAGCTCATGACCATAGATGAGGATAGGAAATACAAGTGTAAAATATATATATTTTTTAAAATATATCTTATGATTAAGAAAATAATGGTGTCGTGGCCCTTTTGGTCTAATTTTATAATCAACTTTATGTGCAATATCATGAGATGTCACGCTTGAATTATGTGTTGGGTCTGACTCTCAGCTGAAACTATATCAAATTTTATCTGACTATCAGCAGACTTCACTGGGTTATCTCAGTTATTACATAGGCTAATGTCAAAAAGCTGTGGAGGTCATCTTAATTTGGAATGGGTCCAAAAGTTAATTAGTTATAGATATACATCCGATGATAACTTTCTGAAAGTTTTATTAAAATTCATGTAGAAGTTGAAATATTTTCCATCCATCCATCCATTATATTCCGCTTATCCAGGGTTGGGTCGCTGGGGTAGCAGCTTAAGTAGGGAGGTCCAGACTTCCCTCTCCCCAGCCACTTGGGCCAGCTCCTCCGGGGGAATCCTGAGGCGTTCCCAGGCCAGCCGAGAAACATAGTCCCTCCAGCGTGTCCTGGGTCTTCCTCTGGGCCTCCTTCCGGTGGGACGTGTCCAGAACACCTCACCAGGGAGGCGTCCAGAAGCCATCCTAAACAGATGCCCAAGCCACCTCAACTGGCTCCTCTCGACGTGGAGAAGCAGCGGCTCTACTCTGAGTCCCTCCCGGATGATCGAGCTTCTCACTCTATCTATAAGGGAGAGCCCAGACACCCTGCGGAGAAAACTCATTTTGGCCGCTTGTATCCGAGATCTCATTCTTTCGGTCACAACCCAAAGCTCGTGACCATAGATGAGGGTAGGAACCTAGATCGATCGGTAAATTGAGAGCTTCGCCTTTAGACTCAGCTCTCTCTTCACCACGACAGACTTGTACAGCGCCTGCTTCACTGCAGACGCTGCACCTATATCGATCTCACGCTCCATTTTTCCCTCATTCGTGAACAAGACCCCAAGATACTTGAACTCCTCCACTTGGAGCAGGACCTCCTCCCTGACCCGGAGAGGGCACTCTACCCTTTTCCGGCTCAAGACCATGGCCTCGGATTAGGAGGAACTGATCTTCATCCTGGCCGGAGTGTAGAGCTGGTCCAGTGTTCCACGGCCAGGATGAAAACCTCCTGAATCCGAGGTTCGACTATCCGATGGACCCTCCTCTCCAGAACCCCCAAATAGACCTTACCAGGGAGGCTTAAGAGCGTGGTTCCCTTCTAGTTGGAACACACTTTACGGTCCCCCTTTTTGAATAGGGGGACCACCACCCCGGTCTGCCAATCCAGGGGAAATTCCCCCGATGTCCACGCCATATTGCAGAGTCGTGTAAGCCAACACAACCCTTCAACATCCAGAGCCTTAAGGAACTCTGGGCGAATCTCATCCACCCCTGGGGCCCTGCCACCGAGGAGCTTTTTAACCACCTCGGTGACCTCAGCACCAGAGAATGGAGGGCCCGTCCCAGAGTCCCTAGGCTCTGCTTCCTCAGTGGAAGACGTGCCGGTGGGATTGAGGAGGTCTTCAAAGTATTCTGCCCACCGACCCACAACATCCCGAGTTGAGGTCAGCAGCACACCACTCCCACTATAAACAGTGTTGGTGGCATACCGCTTTCCCCCCCGAGACGCCGGATGGTGGACCAGAATCGTCTCGAAGCCGTGCGGAAGTCGTTCTCCACGGCCTCTCCGAACTCCTCCCATGCCCGAGTTTTTGCCTCAGCGACCACCCAAGCCGCATGTCGCTTGGACTGCCGGTACCCATCAGCTGCTTCCGGGGTCCCACAGGCCAAAAAGGCCCGATAGGACTCCTTCTTCAGCCTGACAGCATCCCTCACTGACGGTGTCCACCATTGGGTTCGAGGGTTGCCGCCGCAACAAGTACCGACAACCTTGCGGCCGCAGCTCCGGTAAGCCGCCTCAACAATAGAGGCACGAAACATGGTCCACTCAGACTCAATGTCCCCCACCTCCCTCGGAACATGTTTGAAGTTCTCCCGGAGGTGGGAGTTAAATCTCCGTCTCACAGGAGACTTTGCCAGACGTTCCCAGTAAACCCTCACAATACGTTTGGGTCTGCCAGGTCTGACCGGCATCCTCCTCCACCATCGGAGCCAACTCACCACCACGTAGTGATCAGTGGACAGTTCCGCCCCTCTCTTCACACGAGTGTCCAAGACATGTGGCCGAAATTCAGATGAGACGATGACAAACTCGATCAATGAACTGCGGCCTAGGGTGTCCTTGTGGCAAGAGCACATATGGACACCCTTATGCTTGAACAAGGTGTTTGTTATTGACAATCCATGACGAGCACAGAAGTCCAACAACAGAACACCACTCTGGTTCAGATCAGGGGGGCTTTTCCTCCCAACCACACCCCTCCAGGTCTCACTGTCATTGCCCACATGAGCATTGAAGTCCCCCAGCAGAACAAGGGAGTCCCCAGGAGGTGCACTTTCCAGTACCCCCTACAAGGACTCCAGAAAGGGCGGATAATCTGAACTGCCGTTTGGCGCATAAGCTCAAACGACAGTCAGAACCCGTCCCCCCACACATAGGCGGAGGGAGGCCACCCTCTCATTCACTGGGGTAAACCCCAACACACAGGCACCAAGTTGGGGGGCAATAAGTATGCCCACTCCTGCTCGGCGCCTCTCACCAGGGGCAATTCCAGAGTGGAAGAGTGTCCAGCCCCTCAAGGAAACTGGTTCCAGAGCCAGAGCCATACGTAGAGGTGAGTCCGACTATTTCTAGCCGGAACCTCTCAGCCTCACACACACAGTAAATATTTTACTAACATACAAACAAGGGTAATGCTAAAGTTTTAAGTAAATATCTTGCATAATGGGTAGCACTTAAAGTATTTGTTATATATGACTCTCGGCTACAACAACACTTTTTTTTTTTGCAGAATATCTGTAAAATTGCTGGAGTTGTACCCATGTTGGCATTTTCTCAAATCAATTGGCTCTGATGGCCAACTTGAATTGAGATTAATTCAATAATTAATCAGTTGTAGATGTTCGTTCAAGGATTACCTCGAGAGGTTTAACAATCTGTCCTGTGGCTTGTGAGTATTTGCTAATAGTCGAACGAACAAACATAAAAACCCATGCAAGTTCACTTACTTGCCTTTCATGGTGGTAATCAATAATAACCCTGATTTGTATTGGAGACAATGCATTTTTATGATTAAAACTCATGCTGTAACACTAAGTTTTGCTTGTTTTTACCACAGAGTTTCCATTTTGGACAACGGCAGCCTTCGGATATGGAATGTCACCAAATCTGATGCGGGCCTTTATACCTGTATAGCAAGAAACCAGTTTGGAGTGGCAAGTAGCACAGGAAGTGTGACAGTTAAAGGTACGCCCTGTTCCCACTTTGCATTTGATTATTCTCTCTTTTGCAGCTCAATCCGTAAAATACAGAACATTTGTTTAAATTGTCCTCATCCTGTCTCCAGGCTGGCCTAGATGAAGTTTTATCCCTTTATTATCCCCTGTTGCAGAGCGAAGAGAGAGAATTGGAAAAACCCTCTGTCTGTCCATTCATTTGTCCATGAATGTTGTGAGCATAACTTGAAAAATATTGGACATTGCTGATATTGGATATAGTTGTTGCTATTTTGACTAAACCTTGATAATAGCAATACCATGCAATCTTGCATGATCTGTTAGTGTTTGGAGTATGAGTTAGGGATGACTTTCAGCTACTATCATGGCATAAAAATGTTTAAGTTGTTGCCATGTTTTGTGTTGGCTGATGTCAGTTAGCTGTGGTGGCCATCTTGAAATAAACTGACTCTATAAGTTCATCAGTGGTAGACCTGTGGTGATTCCAATGATTATTTCTGAAAATTTCAATACAATCTATTCAGTAGTTCAAAATATTTTTTTTGCTAACAATTAGACAGGGATGATAGCAATGGTCATAGTCATTTTTGCTTTTGCTTAGATCACATAGCATTGGCAGCCATTTTGAATGAAACTAACTCCAAAATGTCATAAGTTCTAGACGTAGAGACGTTTGTGGCAGAAACACTTGTGTTAGTTACCATGCCCCAGTACAAAAACTCAAGCACATTTCACGCTGTAAACATCTTCACTTTTGTAGTGACCAGCAATAGGTTTTAGAAGAACAAGTCATCTAGCATCAAGGAACGCATCATAAATGGTAAGTGGACTGTCCTGTATGGCGCCCTTCTATCTTATTTCAAGATATTCAAAGCACTTTACACTACAATCTGTGTCCTCGTTTACCCATTCATACAGCACTCTACTAGATCTATACAAAGCTAATTGAACAAATTATTCTAATGAGACTAATCAGTGCTTTATCACATTCATACACTGATGGGACACACATCAGAGGCTATGAGGGGTTCAGTGTCTTGCCCAGGGACACTTCAGCATGTGACTGCTGGTGGATTCGAACCCCCAACTCTCGCATTGAAGGACGACTGCTCTAACCACTCAGCCACAGCCGCCCCAATCATAAAGGAAGCCATCTTTGTGAAGAGAACCCGTCCGTCTTTCAACGGGGTGGGGGTCTCCGTGTTCAGCTTCCTCCCTCTTACAATGTTGTTATTCCAGCATAGGAGCGGATTTGCCACGAAATATAGCAGAAATCAGCAACAAACTCAAAGCTACGCTCGGCAGAATGCAGATCTTAAAGTCATCTACCTGGAAGCTGCAGCAGAGGCGTTCCAGCGGGCAGAAGAGGAAGCGCTGCTCCCGGCTTAAGAGGAGAGGATGCCGGGCGGGGGTTATGGTGAGGCTACGAGCTAACGCTAAAGCCGGTAAACTCCCCATGTCGTCTCTCTTTCTGTCGAATGTCCGCTCGTTGGACAACAAGGTGGATTTACTTCGTCTGAGAGCGGGCGCCTCAGAAGAGATGAAGAAGTGTGCAGTGCTTTGCCTCACGGAAACGTGGATTACAAGTGAAACGCCGGACTCAGTCTTCCAGCTGGATGACAGACTTTTTTTTCGAGCGGACCGCTGCAGCGAGCTAACGGGGAAATCACGGGGGGGCGGAGTGTGCATTTACGTGAGTAAAAGTTGGTCCACGAACTGTACTGTTGTAAATAGCTCATGCTCGAAGGCTTTGGAGCAAATAACAGTGAAATGTCGGCCACATTATCTACCCCGAGAGTTCACAGTGACTTTTATCACAGTTGTTTACATTCCTCCGGACGCTAATGCTAATGAATCACTACAGGAGCTTCATGATATCATCAGCTCGCTGCAGAACAAACACCCCGAGGCTCTTTACGTTGTAGCCGGAGACTTTAACCACGTGAATCTAAAGGACTGTCTCCCAAGCTTTAATCAGCATGTGACGATTCCGACACGTGGAGACCGCACGCTGGACCGTGTTTACACGAACGTAAAAGATGCATACAAAGCCGAACCCCGCCCCCACCTAGGACTGTCAGACCACATCTCAATCTTCCTGGCTCCTGCTTACATGCCCCCGCTGAGACGCTCCAGACCGGTACAAAAGAAAGTTAAATGTTGGAGCCAGGACAGTGGACCCATACTGAGAGATTGTTTTGATCGAACAGACTGGCAGGTTTTCAGAGAAGCTGCTGAAAATGGAGGTTCACTTGATCTTGACCAATACACATCCTCAGTACTGGGTTACATTACTACATGTACTGACACAGTCTCCACTATCAGAAATGTTAAAAGCTACCCAAACAGAAAACCTTGGCTGAATGCAGAGGTGCGTACCCTGCTGGAAGCCAGGAACACTGCCTTCAGGTCTGGAAACTCAGAGGAGCTGAGTAGGACAAGAAAAGAGCTGGTTGCTGGTATTAAGAGGGCCAAGGCCGCATATGCAAAGAGGATCGAGGGTCAATTCATCTCACAAGACCCTCGGAGCATGTGGAGGGGCATTAAGTGCATAACAGATTATAAAGGAAGGAGCGAACAATGTCCCAAAGACCCATCTCTGCCTGATGCCCTCAACAAGTTCTATGCACGCTTTGAAGACCCGAACAGACCACCCAGCACCAGACTCACCTCGCCACCGGATGAAGAGCATCTCAGTGTGACCTCAGCAGAAGTAAGGAGTACCTTCAGGAGGATTAATCCGCACAAAGCAACTGGCCCAGACAACATCCCCGGAAAAGTGTTGAAGGAATGTGCTGATCAGCTCTGTGAGGTGCTGGCAGACATCTTTAACACCTCACTTACCCTGGAGACAGTTCCCACCTGCCTGAAGACTGCCACCATCATCCCAGTCCCAAAAAGCTCTACAGTGACTGGTCTGAATGACTATCGGCCAGTGGCCCTCACCCCGATAGTCACTAAATGCTTCGAAAAACTGGTCATGACTCACATCAAAACAACCATCAACATCAACGAGGACCCTCATCAGTACGGATACCGTGAGAACCGATCAACAGAGGATGCAATCTCCTCTGTGGTCCACACTGCACTCAACCACCTGGAGCAGAAAAACTCTTACGTCCGTATGCTCTTTGTGGACTTCACATCCGCCTTCAACACCATGATCCCCCAAACCCTGATGGACAAACTATCCACACTAGGACTAAGCCCCTCCATCTGCAACTGGGTACTAGACTTTTTAACAAACAGACCACAGTTAGTGAGGATCCACAACCTCTCCTCCTCCACCATAACCCTCAGCACTGGCTCTCCTCAGGGATGTGTGTTGAGCCCCCTTCTGTTTACTCTGCTCACATATGATTGTGCAGCTACCCATCCAGGCTGTCACATCCCTTAACAAAAAGTAGTACATTTTGAAGTTTATTTTTGCAAGTATACTTTAAGTTAAGTATAAGTGTATCAAGTATACTACACACCATACTTGTAGTGTACTAGAAGTATACTGATTTAATACTTGTTTGGACTAAATTGGGACATTTTTATACTATTTTTAAGTATATCGAATGAAGTTTATAAAAAGTAAACTTCAAGTGCACTTCTTCATTTTTAGTGTAAAATAAGTATACTTGTAGTACTCTTAAATAAACTACTTTTTGCTAAGGGATTGTAAAGTTTGCAGATGATACAGCGGTGGTGGGATGCATCACAAACAATGATGAGTCCAGCTACAGGCAAGAGGTGGAACACCTGGAGAGCTGGTGCAGAGAGAATAACCTTCACATCAATGTGAAGAAGACAAAGGAGATGATTGTGGACTTCAGAAGGAACAAAAACATCTACACCCCCCTGAACATAAGAGGATCTGCGGTGGAAGTGGTCTCCAGCTACAAGTACTTGGGTGTACACATGAATGACAACCTCAACTGGAGCAACAACACCACCAGCCTGATCAAGAAAGCTCATCAGAGACTCTACTTCCTCAGACGGCTGAGGCGAGCTGGACTGGGAAGCTCAGTCCTCACCTCCTTCTACAAGTGTGCAGTGGAGAGCATCCTGTGCTCCAGCATCAATGTGTGGCATGGAGGCTGCACAGCTGCAGAAAGAAAAGCTTTGCAGAGAGTGGTGAAGGCTGCACAGAAATCTGTTGGAATCAGTCTCCCCACCATCACAGACATCTACACCTCCAGATGCAGGAAGAGGGCCACCTGTATCATGAAGGACCCCACCCACCCAGCACACTCACTTTTTGCCCCACTCCCCTCAGGAAGGAGGTTAAGGAGCATTAAGTGTAGAACCACTAGACTGAGGAACAGCTTCTACCCTGAGGCTGTTAGACTCATGAATCTCTAACTAGAATAATCACTGTGAAAAACCATATCATGTTGCTGCTGATCTGTTTCATGTTGCTGCTGATCTGTTTCAATGTTGATGTGTTCATGCGTGCACATCTGCTCACAGACTCATGTTCATGTTTGTGCTGATGTTCAATGTTTTATGTTATGAGTGCTTAGTGTATATTTAGTTGATGTTTTTCTTAGTTCATATCTTAGATGTCATTACTGTTTTTCTTATACATTTTATTGTTGGATGTAACTGGGACCCTGCGTACATAATTTCGCTCCACCACATGTACCACATGAGGTGCGAATGACAATAAAGAAACTCTGACTCTGACTGACTCTCTGATCATTCAACCCCCTGTGAATAGCAAGCGGCCATGAGGTCACTAACGATCAATTATTAAGCTAGTCCCCCTTTTGCATGTGAACAGCTAGTTCTGGATGTCAGCAGCAAAGTGGTTGATCCACTATGAGAAGGTGCTGTTTATGACTGGGTTTCTTGCAGGGTTTCAGACTGAAGGAGTCTATTAGATAAAATATGAAATGTTTCAACCAAGAAGAATGTGTCCAGAAGACCTGACTTAACCTGTTTATATCATCTAGCATCAGCTTAACTCTGCAGCAGGGTGCACTCTGAGCACTCCATGCATCACTGATTGCTGCTGATTTG